ATAACTTCGTTCAGAGAATCGTTTGGCAGATTTTGAATGCAGATTTGAAACCAGCATCAAAAAGTACGTTTGGCAGTGTAGGTCTCATTTCAAATGGCCACTTCGACTTGGGATCCTTCCCTTGTTAGAAGAACGGCTGAAGAGCCACATATCGGGACCCACAGAGCGGAAAGCAATGAGTAGAGTGAAAGACGTTCTAGATAATCACGTCGACCCAACCACTATCCATGGCAATTCTGGGAGCCAGCTGAGAGACAGTTCCATTATGAAATAGATATCTTCTTTGATTGAATGCTCTGCCCTACTTACATGGCTGTGGTTCTGAAGTTCTGCACTGGATCGAACCATCTTCGACTCGTCCGTGCTAGATATATGTTCTTCAGTGCTCTTCACTTGTGATTGTACGAAGGTTCCGTTCGTGACAATATCGCCGCAACATGAAGCATACAACCGGCTTGTCGAATATTTTCACGATAATTCCAGGAAAACAGAGGGTTCAATGATGCCAAGAAACATAACTTTGAAGTCTCGCTCGAGCTGATACGCAAGCACGGAATCGCGCGAGCTGCAGACAATAACCAGCTAACGTGAGAACTTGTGAAGCTATGCAGAGAAGCGATAAAGGAAGATCTAAAAGGGAGAAGAACAGCAGTTTTGACTGAAGCCCCGGAGGCTGGGAAGAGCATTTGCAAAACCCGCCGAAGCTTCGTTAATTATTAGGTTGGCAAATAAGTCCTGCGACAAAAAATTTGAGGCGTTGAAAATTTGTATCAACAGTGTGAACACGGTAGCAAGGGTTATAAACTTGTAGGACATTCCCCGAGCAATCAACACATGAGTGAATAATGGCACGCGTGTGGGCTTTCGCAGCATTACGGTCAGGAAATGGACAACACCCGATTCGTACCATCACCTTCTACTAAGCACACCAAGGGAAAAACGCGAGTGTAGCGGCTCGAAAAATCAGCAATCTATTCGATGCTAGCACTGCTCACCGATCGACGGTGAACAATCTGTTGGATCGCTTCGCTGTAGGAGATACTAGCCTTCGGAGTAACTTAAGCATCATCCCTCAATTCAATGGAGTTTGAAGGAATCCATCCACTATGAGTTGCTAAACGCAGACTAGATGGACGGAGCTATCACTTGCCCCTATGATCCCCTTTATTTGGCCAACGGGGTTAGAGAAGGACGGGCAAACCGTAAATCAGGTCCCTACAGAGGGACTACGCAAGTAGAAAATTCGCTCTAAACCCACGTCAAAAGTTCATCGATCCCGCTTGCTCCNNNCATCATCCCTCAATTCAATGGAGTTTGAAGGAATCCATCCACTATGAGTTGCTAAACGCAGACTAGATGGACGGAGCTATCACTTGCCCCTATGATCCCCTTTATTTGGCCAACGGGGTTAGAGAAGGACGGGCAAACCGTAAATCAGGTCCCTACAGAGGGACTACGCAAGTAGAGAATTCGCTTTAGACCCACATCAAAAGTTCACCAATCCCGCTTGGTTCCAGGTTACTCATCAATCGTACTCCCGGAGTGTTCTCCTTCTAACTACCATGTAGTCCGCCTTTTTGAGCAACCCGCTGTGGAAAAGAAATTCGTAACTTAACGTGATCCAAAAACGGCAGTCAATTACTTCCTTGAGTCACAGCTCCCTCACTCCTGAAGAGATGGCATCAGTGATTGGCTCAAAGGATAAAAGAAGGCTGTTGACTTCTTCGGTAAATATTTTTCCGAAAATTGATTGACATGAAAAAAATTTAGAAATGATTGAAAAAAGGTCTCCATTTTGTCGCAGGACTTATTTGCCAACTTAATAGAAGGCCAATGACTTCACTTCGTCGGCCTGACGGAACAGTTACTGCATCTCGAAGGACAATGGAGAAGATCATCCATGACCTGTACTCCGTTCTCTTCGACAGCCGTGTCTACCTCCCTATTCAACAACTTAGGCAAAACGGATAGTCATCCATTTAGTTTTCCCTTTCGATAATCAGCATTCTATCACGTCGATGAAGATTGCCTAGTCCCTATAGGATCAGGGCAGAACATCTGAACAACCTTCCACCATTTATCCAGTTATCTTCAAACTCTGGCTGAGCTCATCACGCGGCACCTAACGGGATATAAAGTGCCCACTCGTGGAAAACGAGCAAGCCAGCCAGACTATGTTCTATATAACAAGGGAGATTCAGACAATTTTCCATCTCTCGCCTAATCTGCCTGCTGTCTGATATGTCTGCCATCCATCCATTTGGGGGAGGCTTCTGTTACCGTCAATACAGGATTGGTAATTGATGCCTTGGACAACTAGTTCTTACCAAAGATATTATAATACATCGTCTATCTATGACAACTTCACGATAAGGATTTCGCCATTCTACAAGAAATTCTTTGTTCACGACGAAAGGGGGTTTTGACAAAGCGGTACCACTTCGCCCAAGCTTTTCAGTGCCGCTCTCAAGAACATCATAGGGAATGTGACGGCATGAATGTGAAGGGCGAGGCTATTTACGTCATCTCCGCCCTGCACATGACATCGTGCTTATAACGCCGAACGGCTGGCCGAACTCAACCACGCTTGAGGAAAGATCAGCTTATAACGGAACTTGGCGAGGACGATGTTGATGAGAAAAGGATTGGTATTTGAAGATCCCTTCACGTCAAACGGAACGAATATCTCCGAATGTTTTGCTACATCCATCTAGGACGAGAAGTCAAGACGATGAACGGCTTAGCTCCGGAACTGAGCAGGAGGGAAACACTCAGAACAGGAGAGCATTCAAGAGCATCGAGAGGTAGTGAAAGCAAGTATTATAATATCCAACTCCGTGCTCAACTTCTCAGCACTGCGTTCCTTCTTTTTTGACATGCATCTCGGACCACCTTGACCTTTTATGCTCGAAATTTCTCGGTTCATGCAAGTGTCCCTCGAGCGAGACGACCCGCTGAACTGCTCTAGCTCGCGAGAGGGACTGAAGAAAACGTTACCGGCACTCGTGGAAGTCGGTGATCAACAAGACGACAGGTGATATAGGTGATATGTCAGCAACATTCAAAACTTTTATTGGATTCATGGCATCTGAGCCAAAAGCCAAGTTCAATGTGTTTAGAGCGCAAGCCGGAAAATTACCATGCACCCCTTCGTTGCCCGTTGTCTGGAAACCTCATAACACTAGGACGTAACCGAAAACCGTAATAATCAAAATTTACAGCTGAGGGTGCCTACCTAACGCATTCATCTGTAGATACTTTAGGTAGGCACCCTTACTGGTTAGTTGCACTCCACTGGGACGAATTCCGTAATTCCATCCCGAGGGATACCCTGACCTATCCGAAACGGCTTCCACCTCCTGCCCGACGACCATTCTCTTTTTGTAACTCGTCTATTTATATATCTTTTGTCGATATTACAGTTTTCTTCGGTGGTTCCTATTTGTTTGATTTTTTTAAGGATAAATTATTATAAGTCAAGAGGCGTTGAGGCAAGGAGAACTTCCGTTGGGCGCACTCACTCACTCTACAGGGAACTGCCGAAAATTTTGAAACGCTATCATGAGTATCCGGGGTAGAGGACATATCTATTCGATAGAGAAGAAGCATTCAGTATTCAATTCTTAAAAGTGAGCGACTTTGGTAGACATCAATATTGAGCGTGAAAACAGTTCATAATCGCGTAGACCGAGCGTATGCATCATGGACAGGAACCTCCATGTCATACCTACAGGTCCATTACCAACTGCGCCACCGTTGTACAGTAAAGTTCCTCCGGTTATCTCTCCAATGCGAAGGTATAATACAGGGAGAACTGCTTCGAAACTGCATTCCCAGAATTGCTCAACAAATATGAGGTCAGTGTTCGAAAGCACACGTGGCGGTATACATCTGATCTCAAATGGAAACTGCGACTGCAAAGTCTTAACTTGCGAGTCGTCTTCGAGAAAAGGGTTTTGCAATGTCGTGAAGCAGGTTTACCCTCTCAAGCTCATGAGTAGCCGAAGATTCTCAAATACCTTGGATTGCTTGTATCTGTAGAGGGAGGAGTTCCCACTAATATACTCCACGAATCTCACTAGGTACACAACATGATCTTCTAACTGAAATGATCTGGTTTTACCATTTAATCAGTCCTTTGTGAAGGATGGATAATGGTGCCTCCGTATGGATTCATGTGAAGGCTCCACTTCTCATGTCTAGTGATAACGTTGTTCAACCGGTCCGTTCTACAGGAGGGGAAGGGAAGTTATAAGCAGTATTCTACTGCTCCTTTAGGATCTGGTCGATTCTTGAGAAGTTCACAAGCCAAGTTTTGAGACTTCTGCGAGAGAGCGAAGACCACCGCTCATCCAGGCGCTGTAGCAACCGGCTGTGGTTGCGAGAGAGCGAGTCGTTTCCTATGGATTTCCGTCGACGAAAGAGCGCAGCTGCTCCAGATCCAGGGTTCAGATCCAGGGTTAATGGCCTCTCCAGATCCGAACGGATCTTATCATTCCACCACTGTGCGTTGGGAGACAGCGACCTAAGCGCAGTGCAGACATTATGGTGAGTTTGACTAGGTTGTTTACAAAATAGTGTTAAAAGGCGAAGTTTCTCTTCTATCCTTCCCCGCATAAAACAGCAGCTAAGGTCCGGTCAAGATTCCAGTCACTTTACTTAATGTATTATGTTAGACTCTTAGACCTATTTCCGGAGGTCCTTTCTGAATCCCCATTGAAAGAAAATTTACGCGGCGACTAGGAAGCTTCGAAGTCGTTCCACTATTCGAGCTAAGCGGTAAGCACCGGAATTTTGAATGTATTTTTCAATGCATATAGGAGAGCGTCCAAGCTGAAATGCGATTTGTCTATTCGAGTGTCCAGCCACATGAAGAGCCCCGATCTGCGCTTGTTCTTCTTCAGAAGGAAGCCTACCACGCACAGGCACGACGGTACAACGGTTATTTTGAAAATGACCGAAAACACTTCGGGATTAACGCGCCAAAGTAGGATCTAACTCGGGTGTCCACATACTTTTGTTACAAAGAAGACTTTTTCTCAAATTAAAAAAAGTAAGAGCTACTTTAAATTTTCAGAAGAACAGGTATTCCCGAGGTGTCGCATCGCAGGATTCGAACAGTATAAGTTTTATCGCTCGAAATTCACTGGCAAGCCCGATGAGCCAAAATATTGGGATGTCCACATACGTTGTTACGCACTGTATGCTTCTAGTGAGAGTCAAATGTTTTTCTTCACTGCGGCACGAAGGAATTTTAGTCAGAACTATTTTCACACGTACCTTGAATGAACCTAGTTTTTGAGAGATCATTTTATCATTTGTTGTGCTTAATGAACGAATTAATCGTTTTCATGACTTTTTTCTGCCGATAATATATCAGATTGGCATATAATTTTCAGATTACCTTACATCGAATATTGTGAATCTCATAAGTAAGTGTGATTTCTTGCACACGAACGACGTGTCGTACCGCCTCTACCGGCTTCGCTTCGTGCGGTCAAAGGCTGAGACATTAAAGAATAGAATTCCACAGCTGAGATTAGGTCTTAACGCAAACAGCGTTACACATGCGGTAGTTCTTTCCGTATACGGCCACTTATCGGCCGTTATCAGTTGTTATCACTCCCCGGTGTTCATTTCCTTTCCACCTGTATCCATTTGGAATTAGAACGCTCTAGATTCAGACAAACTTATTCTTGCTTTATATAAAGCGCTCGCGTCTGTCTGTCCGTCCGTCTGTCTGTCTG